CAGCTTAAATGTGTCTGCTTTCACAAAGCAGCCATTTTCATCTATTGAATTTCTTTTTTCACGCTTAAAGCCAGAATGAATGATTGTTTTGCTAAGCTGGAGCTCTGAAAAAATAGAGGAGATGGTGTCTGTGGATGGTATTATAGTAAGGACCGCTGCAGTGGTGATGATGCATGCAATAAAATTAAACACAGTCATTTTACGATACCGAGAGCTCCTGTTTGTGCACCTTTTCTTGTGTGTGGCTTAATTTCTTAGGGATCAGAAAGTAAAAGCCCCTGTAAAAACCATTGCATGACTTGTTTACTTTTTCACATCAGCAAAAACTCATGTAGGCTTTTCTTACCTTTATTTCTATAACAGCAATTTATTAGCACTGGTCTTACATTTTCTGTTGCCTTGAGTCTGTTTCCTGCTCCGGTATTTGCCACAGAAAAGGCTGTGGAAGTCTTACAGCTAGCCCTCCAGTCTAAGAGTGCACTGTGAGACTGTACTTTGCCCTAAATGCTGATCTCAGAATGTTAACTTGGTCACAGCTGAAGGTTTTACTCTGTTTGCATGTTTACGTTTCAGTACAGTTGAGCGTGACATTAGTTCTTAAGGTATTTGTAAAAAAAAAAAAATTTAATGGCTTTAAAAATGTTTTATACGCATGTTTATATAAAAAAAAGGGGAAAAAAACTTTATTAATAATATTTTTATAGTTTATAACATAATAGCTGCTGAGATACTTTTCAGTCTGGGCCAATGTGCAACTTCCAGAGTTGAAAAATTAAGCCAACACCAAAGTGTTTGGAGCTCCACTTCCTCTCTGTGCTTCTTGAGTTAGTCCATCATTTTAAAATGTCGGACTTTTTAGAATTAAAAATATATATTCACAGCCTGGTATAAAAAACAGTTTGGGTCTCTATGGATACTTATAACAACTCTGAGTGGGGTGAATTTTTTTTCTTGTAAGTCATCTAATATACTGGAGTTAGAGGCCTGGCTGTGTTGATTCACAGGTTTGTGTGTGTGTGTGTGTGTGTGTGTGTGTGTGTGTGTGTGTGTGTGTGTGTGTGTGTGTGTGTGTGTG